TGTGCAAATATACCACAGCTTCTCTACCCATTCGTTTGTTGATGGGCATTTGGGTTGTTTCCAATTCCTTGCTATTGTAAACAAAGCCGCAATAAACATGGGTATGCATATATCTACTTGGGTGCCATTTATTGTCTCTTTAGGGTATATTCCCAGTAGTGGAATTGCTGGGTCAAATGGTATCTCTATTCGCAACTTTTTGAGAAAGCGCCACATTGCTTTCCACAGTGGTTGCACCATTTTACACTCCCACCAACAGTGAATAAGACTTACCCTTCTCTTAATGGAACAGCTGGTTGATTCAAACCAAGTGTCTTTGGGATTACAGTGCAGCTTCTTATCACCAGGCCTATTCAGTCAAGAAAAAGTTAAAAACCAATCTGGCACTTTAATGGAAATGAAAGTGTGTGAAGTAAAGGCAGCTGGAATGCCAGACACTCAAATGTTTGATGAATAGATTAGTGAATGTAATATAACCTCAATGATCATATGGTAGTAAGAAGGCAACATGCAAGCTTCCAGGTGCACTGGAACAGTTTTCAGAGAATCACATGTACCACAGGCCGACCTCCAATCACCCACAATGCTTTTACAATTGCATTAGATGTGATAACTTCATTTTTTTAAAAAAAAATTTCGTCTAACCCTCCTCCACTCCCCTCACCACCTACAGTGTCTTGTCCAGTACCACAGTTCTCTGTGTCAGAACTCCAGACTCCCAGAAGCTACATTACGCCAGCACCAATCCCTGCTGATCACTGCACAGAAAAATGCATTCCCATCATCTTAACCTTACGGTTCGTATAAAAACTCTTTACCTCACACACAGCCTCTGGCAGACTCCTTCTCTTTCATTTTCACAATCCATGCACTAATCTTAGTAAGATTAATTGTATCAAGCCACTTTCATCATATCAATGTTGTTGTGATGTTATGTGCTGTTGAGTCCATTGTGACCACTTAGAGATCCTCTCAACAGAACAGAAAGTGGCCTTATCCTTTGCCATCCTCACCGTCTCTGATACACTTGAGTCCATTATTAAAATTACTGTGTCAATCCATTTCAGTGGGGAACTTCCTCTTCTATGCTGACCAGTCACCTTTCTCAGCATGATGTCCTTCTCCAAGGACCGGCCACTCCTAACATGTCCAAAGTATGTGAGACGAGGCTTTATCATCCTTGCTTCCAAAAAGCACCCTTTTTGTACTGTATTCAAGTCATTCACAGATAAGCATCTGATTTTCAAGATCTTCCATACAGTCCCTGTACCTGGCTGTACATCCACTCTGCCTCTCTCCTCATCTCCCAGCCCAGCCCTTTCTCACTGCTTCCTCTGCATCTGCTTTCAGCACTCTTACACAGAGGCCCTCTTGCTCCTCTTCACCCAGTTCAACCTCTCTCCAATGTCCAGTGGTAGTTCAAATCTTACCTCCCCAACACTGATTGTTTCCATGATCATCTTCTTATATGAATTCCTACAATACTTATTTACAGTCACATGAACAATATTTAATGTCTTAGTTCTTTTTGTTCTGTTTTATAACATTTGGAAAACTTCTATGTGTCACATTATCATGCATTTCCCCCGCTCAATATCAGGAAAATGCTGCTGGGTATTGTAGGTTCTCTTTGCACAGAGAAGAAAGAGAAATGTGGCATGAAGATAAGAGAAAAACGTCATTCTCTCAAGTGGCACCATTTCAACTCCATCTGCACCCAGTTTCCAGCATTGGACTCTCTCCCACTGGAACTACACCAACTGAGAGGTGAAGCCTGACTGTACCACCCTCTTCCTACTAGCTTTAAATCATAGTTTCTTCAGTTGGGATCCTTGAACTTTCCTGTGTAAAATCCTTAAGTGCTCACTTCTTACTTGCCCTGTGTATTTATTTTTAAGCACTGTCCTCAGTCCTCACAACTACTGACTGTTGAACATGTTTATTCTGCCTGCAACTGTCTTTCCCTCGGTGATGTAATCTATAGGAAGTTGTGTTGCTAACCCAAAGGCTCTGGTGGTTTAAATCCACCAGCATCTAGGGAGAAACATGAGCATTCTCCTCTCAGCGTTTACAGCCTTAGGAGTCCTCTGGAAGGTCAGCTCTGAGTTGGTTCTAACTGGTCTGGATGAAAATGAGGTTTTTTTTTTTTTATTTTGTTTTTTTTTTTTTCATCTGAAAAGACTTCAGCCCTTCCACAAGACTCAGCTCAAATGATCAGGGGCATCCTAACCACAGCTCTCCGAGCTCCCACAGGAGCCATTCTCATTCGTCACGTTTTACCAAACTCCGTAAAAAGAACTTCTTTACTAGACGAGTCTGGCCAACAGACTAAGCTTCTTCAGTTAACACAGAACAAAAAACTGGGTCACTATCAACCTTTGAATTCTGAGTGCTCATAAAAACACTTGGCACAGGGTAGTATAATTAAAAGCTCCAATTATATTCCAGAGCCTATGGTGGATACCAAGATTGAGATAACATGACCTTGTTTTTCTAGTGTTTAAATGAGTAGAGAAAGCAAGCTGTGGCTGTAAACTATAACAATATTAGGGCAGAAACAGATGTGTGGCAAGAAACCACAGGAAAACCAAGTTGCTCAACACTAAGAGGTTTACTTTTGGATGGGGATTCAGAAAAAGTTTCATGAAAACAAAGACATTTAAAATAATGGTCTCAAGTGTGTCAGAAATTGTGAGGATGGCACAGGTTAGGACCTGTTCATAGGCTTGGTATGGGTCGTACTCGACTCTGTGATACCTAACAGCAACAAGACCCGCAATGACCGTGCAGCCCCCCAGGCTGCACCAGCTGGCTGGCTTGGGATCTCTAGTGTAGTCAAGGTGGCGCATACTGCATTTCACATACTTTGAACATATTATCAAGAGGGCCCAAACCCTGGAAAAGGACATTATTTTTGGTAGCAGATCAGTGAAAATAAGAGAAGACTTTTCCAAGAC